CAGCAAATAAGAATGACAGCCAGGTGAGGTCATTGCTCCAAGCATGGTGACTCCTGTAAGTCATTCCCAGAGACCATGTATCCTGTGTGCAGAGACAAGCCAGGGAGGCGAGCAGCCCACCTGGTCTCCTCTCAGTTCCTGTTCTGATGATTCTTCTGTTGTGATAAAACACTAATCAAAACCAGCTTGGGGAAGAAAGGGTTTATTTAAGCTTTCCTTCATTGGGGAAGCCAGGGCAGGAGCGTAAGCAGAGTCCATGGAAAAAAAGACTAACCTGCACAGACCCATTGCTGAGCATGGATGCTGAGAGAGCTCATGTCCCCTAGCCCTGCCCCCCTCCCCCAACCTCTCCATCTCAGATGGGGAAGAGAGTCTTTTGTGGCCTTTCCCCTGCACTCTCAGGGAACAGAGCTTAGTTCCACACCCTTCCTGGACTCAGCACCTACCACTACAGCCAGCCTCAGGGCCCTTCCTCCTTCTGGGCTCCCATTTGTCCATTCCATCCCAATCCCCTGAAACCTCCATGTCCACAGAGATTTGGGAAGCTCCTGGGCCCCCATGTCCACCCAGATGGGTGCAACTCCACAGTGTGACCCTCCAGCTCTGTCCCTGCCCCGCACCCTCTCCTCCTGTGGCTGTAGGAGCAGCTGCAAAGCTTTGAAACTGAGTGGCAGCATGGGGGACACGGGGCTCATAAATAGAAGGCAGCTAATAATAATAATTGTGGGTTCAGGATTTATCAGGGGCTACAGGGCCTGACCTCAGCCCCCACATGGCTGCAGAGGGAAAGGTCACCTCTAGCCAGGGTGGTAAATTCCCTTCACTCCATGCCAGTAGCCCACACTACACCAGCCCGGTTTTGCTTGGCACACTTCAGAAGGGACACAGGTCAAGCGGTCACCATGCAGGCTCCACACAGCTTTTCCAGAACTGTTTGTGGGGTGTCCATTCTCAGCCCTGCCCTCCTCATCCTGGCTCAGTGTTCACCAAGGCCTCCCAGGGCCTGGCAGCTGAGGGCACAGATGAAAGGTGAGAGAAAAGGGGTCTTGCGCATTGTCCCGGAACGTGCTGGAATAGGTCCAGTTCTGCCCGATGAGCCACTGGGCTGGGCAGAGGAGGCCCTCATAAGGAAAGGAGGCCATGACTTGGGGTTCAGGTGTGCGATGGGTGCCTGTCCTTGTGGCTGGGGTGAAGAAGGAACCCCAGGCTGATTTTCCTGGAGAGGTTTGCTTCTCCCACACGGTGTCACAGGCTCAGATGTCCAGCACACTGTGTTCTAACAGGGCAAGGTGGGGACGGCGGCCACTGTCCTGTCCTCAGAGAGCAAACCTGAGGAGGATGGGGAGGACCGCAGCACCTACCTATCTCTTCTGAGCAAGACAGGACTAGGGAGGTGGGTCAGCCAGAAGGGAAAGGCCTGGCCTCCCCCACAGGTCCTGGCCTGAGCACAGAGGAATTCTCCCCATGCTGTCCCATGGTAGGTCCCAGCATCACAGTGACCGTTTGCCCAGCAGGCCTGATGTCCCCACCTGTTTCTCCTTGACTTATCATGTGCAAGTCCATTAGATCAAGAGCACACCACACTCATTACTCTAAGCCCTTTGGCACTTCAGAGACCACACCTTGGCCTCCTGGCACCTTCTTCAGGGATAGACCCCTGCCAGAGGAGCAGGCAGAGGTCAGGGTCAGGCAGCAGGGTGCCTTCATCCGACTGGGCTAGGCAACAGGGCTGCTGGCCTGTCCCCAGAGCAGAGGGAGAGGGAGCTGGAAACAGTACACACACAAAGCCCATAAATATTTCTAGCCACAGCCAGCACGTCTTACTGGGCAATTTGCTTTTTAAAAAATTGCGCTCTAATTTTAAGTGAACAGCCCTTAATTATGGTGATTTACAGGGGCACCTGGGGACCGGATGGCATTTGAGCATGGCAGAGCTGCACTGAGACTGATTGGCGGGGCATCATTCAACCTGTGCATGCTGATAAGCCAGGGCCACTTCCCCAAGAGGATCTGCACTGGGAGCGTGCCAGTTAAAAGGACCAGGGCACATGGGGAAACCAAGTCCAGAGAGTGAGCAAACAGAGCTGCTGGGCCATGGCTGGCTTGTGGGGTAGAGGCTGTTACAGACCTCAGAGTTGCTTTTCTTTCTGAAGAGGGAGAGGGTAGCCACCCTAGCCGTCACTCCACTCTCCCACGATGACCTGTCCTGGCTGCAAGGAGTCCTGAGCAATAACTGATGGGACTGGAGCAGGTTCCTCTGACCTCTTAGCTCTCGCCTGTTCATCAGAAGCAGTGGAGCGGAGCTGACAGCCGAGACAAACATCTCAGATAAACAATAGACATGGTGGCCTGTCATCCCATCTACTCAGTAGGCAAAGGCAAGAGGATCAAAGTTGAAGGCCAGTCTAGGCAACTTAGTGAAACCCTGTCTCAAAGTACTACCAAGAGCGTTGGGGGGCATGGCTTAGTTGTACAGCACCTCCCTAGAATTCCCCAGTGAGGGTCTAGGAGTGTGATTCAGTGGTAGAGCTCCTACCTAGAATCCCCCAGTGAGGTGCTGAGGTGTGGCTCTGGTAGAGCACCTGCCTAGAATCCCAGTGAGGGGCCAGGGTGTGGCTCAGTGGGAGTACTTGCTTAACATGTAGGAGGCCTGGTTCCATCCCCAGTTCTCTCTCTCTGTCTGTCTCTGTCTGTCTGTCTCTCTCTCTCTCTCTCTCTCTCTCTCTCTCTCTCTCTCTCTCTGTCTCTCTCTCTCTTTTGTGTTCTTTT